CCTCTTTCATAAAAGAGCCTAAAACCACAACGCTACAAAGCCCTAGCTAAAACACTGGAAGATCTGCAGGAGAGCGTCAAGAAGCTACAATAACTGAGATTTCTTTTAGAGGAACATTTTTACTGAAATGACATTGCTTTGTTTTATAGACTTTTTTGCACTGCAGGATAGGGTTTGAGTTTGAAATATATATTTTTGATTTACTTTTGCAGTGATTTTCATTTTTACTTCTGGAATGCAGGTGTCAGACTAAGTCAGCTGTAAGTAAACAGTAAAACGGTAACCTGAAGGAGTTTGTTTTGGTGATTTATTGAACATAATATACTTTTTGAAGAAAGTACAAGAAAGTAAGAGGGGGATAAATAAACATTTGAGCATTACTGTCAAATACAAGATGTGGGGCCAAAGTTTCTCCAAACGAAACCCATCCACCACAGGTGAAGGAAGAGGACAGACCAGTTGACGCGTGGGGTGAAATAAAATGTTGTTCCTTTATTTTCTTACAGATCCATCCGACATTTGTTCCCATAGTCAATCAATTCTTCCTGTAAGCTCCAACATAATCTAACCTGCTTCAGCACGGTCCAAAACTGTTTGCCTCTGTCTCCATCCAACACACCTGTGCCCATTTGCACCATGATTAAATAGAGGTGGAGACAATGACGTCCTGTTTGACTGCATGCAGAGATAACCCTTTCTTTCTTGTGCTCCTTTGTATCTTCTGTTCGGTTAATATGAAGAATGCTTGGATGCATTTGGTTGCATATTTTACATAATATGCGATTTTTACAGTCCTTACTGACGTGTCCAGCACGTAGGCAGCCAAAACAAACTCCATTGTTCTTTAAGAAGTTTAGCTTTTCCTTTTGGATCAGCCCTTTCATCTTTGGGCACTCCTCTAGAGTGTGCTGTTGTGCACACTTCAAACAAGATAAAAATGCACATACTGGTGCTTGAGTTTGAGTGTCAATTGTTCTTGTTTTAATTGGGGGTCTAGCAAAATTAAGAACAGTGGTTGCAAAGCTGCTTCTCCTCATCTGAGCTGTAGGTTGTGACCTCTCTTTATTTTTTATGTCTTGGATGTCACCAAAAACAGGATCTGACATTGCTTTAACTTGATGTTTAAGAAAGTGAACAATGTCTATTAACTCAGCTCGACGCTGCTTGTCTTCACGAATGTCACATGCCACAAGTCTCCCTTTTTCTCTGAGTTTGTATGGAAGCTTTGTACAATGGTTTTCATATTAGCCAGCATTTTGAGTTAATCCAAATAGCTTAGTTCCTCCATTGCATTACAACAACTCTGCAGAAATAGGGTATAAGCAGAAAGGCCTTTAACATCCTCAGGTTTGATAGCAGGCCATGCATTTATCTTGTCCACATAAGCAGCAGTTATCTTTAATTCATTTCCAAAATGCTCTGTGAGAAGTTCCTTGGCTTTACTGTATTTTCTTTCTGACGGCAAGTGCTGGCAACTCCTGACTAGCTCTTTTGGCTGGCCTGAAGTGAATTGCTCAAGATAGTGTAGACGGTCATCTTGATTTTCTATTTTTGATTCCACACCTTGTTCAAATGCTTTAATGAATGTTTTGAATTGTAAGGCGTCTCCATTGTACACAGGAATCTCACGAGTTGGTAGAAAGTGTGATCTTTGAGTTTCAACAAGCATCATCATGATTTCATTTTGTTTTTGCAGAAGTTGAAAAACATCTCCAGATTCATGTGTGTTTGATCGAGAAGTAGTTAAAGAGTTCCTGTTTGTTAAATGGTTTCTTGTAACAGGATGGCTTGCTAATGTCTCTCCTTTGTCAGGTTCCTCCACGTCCAATTGTTGCTTTGCTGATCCCTTTTTCCTCTATAGGATTCCATTCCATCGGACTGATGCATTGAAGAGATGCTACAACTTTTAGTAATATCCAAGACGGCAAGTTTTGCTGTGGATGCAGCTATTTCTGCTTCCATTTCTAAACTTTCGATTTGCCGTCTCAGTTTGTTGGCTCTTTCCTCTAGAGCATGTTTTTCTTTTAATGCAGCTGCACGAGCATCAAGTCCAGCCCTTTCCGCCTTGGCTTGCAGAAATGTAGATCTAGATGAGGACCTGCTAGATTTGCTTGTCCCATTACTCTGAATGTTAGAAATGCTGTCATGGGGTTCTATGTTACTTAGCTCGGGTTTTAAACCCCACACATCTGTTGAAACAACCTCTTTAACATTTCCTTCATATGGGCCCAACCCTTCATTCTCAACCACCCACTCATTCACCAAATCATTAAATTCACGAACACCCATCATTTTTACCTTAAACCACCTTTCATCCTGTTCAAACTCATCCGTGGGTACATAGCCCCTCAAAGTCTCATGTTGGGTTTTAGCATTGTTAACAAAAGCATTATATTTTTCAAGAGAGACCTTTACCTCATTAACAAAAGAAGCATCATCCATCAAACCCAAGATTGTCTCTTTTAATTTAGAGATCTTTCTCAGCTTCTGCTTTCTTTCATTTTGCAAATTTGCAATTTTTAATGAGACCCTTTTCAGTTAATTTAACAGTACGTTTCACCACAGTCTGAATTTTCTCTAAAGACTCAACATTGAGATTTGATCTTTGAGAGCCAGACCCAAGGGCTGGATCAGAATCACAGTCTTCCTCCATTGAAGTTAAGCAAACACAGCTTCACATGAGCTTTGATTTGTTTGCGCTGGAGCAGGCATGTATATGCTCATCAGTAAACCATTTGGAAGCACTACACATACCTCTTTATTAGGCTTGCGTAACCTGTTATTTCTTCTATGACGCAAAGCTCCTGCAGGTGAATGGCCAGAACAGCGTGAACCCAAGCAGCCCGTTCAGGACCCAAAGACAGCGTTGTCTCCAACGGGGCCCGATCCAGCAGCACCTCCAACAGGGCCCTGATCCACTTCACTGGAACTTGTTTCCTCCTGGCCTTTGACTTTAAAAAAGGCAGTTTTGGACTTAGAATGTGGGGCCAAAGTTTCTCCAAACGAAACCCATCCACCACAGGTGAAGGAAGAGGACAGACCAGTTGACGCGTGGGGTGAAATAAAATGTTGTTCCTTTATTTTCTTACAGATCCATCCGACATTTGTTCCCATAGTCAATCAATTCTTCCTGTAAGCTCCAACATAATCTAACCTGCTTCAGCACGGTCCAAAACTGTTTGCCTCTGTCTCCATCCAACACACCTGTGCCCATTTGCACCATGATTAAATAGAGGTGGAGACAATGACTTGTTCAAAAGTTCAGTGGGCTTGCCTCCCTCTAGTGTCAAAACCAATAACTACACCTTCATTTAAAATGGCTCCCACACAAGATATAAGGTACCATACAATTGCAGAAAATAACACTTCTCCAAAGCTTGGGATACACGATATATACCGAAATTCAATTTCTACTTTATCATAATATTTTACTTCTTATTATCCAGGAGGCTAAATGGATTTTACATTTAAACACATTTAGCTTTACAAAATGTAAATCAATTTCATCAATATGACAAAAAATTACAAAGATTTGGTAAATCAAAATAATTTAGTCAAAAAGACACAACTCATCAATTTATGCCATTATGTATACCGGATGCGTAATTTGCCTTGGTGTGAGCAGGTGCAATTAATTTAAAAGTTTGATAATTGTTAGTAACAGATTGCGAATACAGTTTGGACTTTTAAAGTGATTTCAGCTCGTAACATAGCAGTGTGGACCAGAGGAGTTACATTGTGTCAAGTCATCTTTTTCAGTTTTTGTTTTCGCAAACCTGTTTTGTGTTTTATTTATAATTGTGAATAAATGAAAATAAACTTAAAAAAATCTCTGTCATGTTTTTGTTCTGCTCAGCAATTAAACCAGGTGATTTCAAACAGCATAGTGAATTAACCTGGTTCAGTGGCTGAGCAGAACAAAAAAATTGACATGGAGATGACTTGATGACACAATATCGCACCTCTGGTATGAACTAAAGTAGAGACTAACTTCTGTTTTTGTTGTGTTGCATTGTAAGTAGAGGAAAGCAGGTGGGATTGTGAAAGACAAAAATCTTTCCACAACTATATTGTCAATATAACAGTATAGGTAGGTACAATATCATATCTGTTTCTAAATATATCCTGATATGATCATATATATATATATATATATATATATATATGATCATATCAAGATATCGGCAAACTGTAGTTATGATAACTTGGCTTGTACACTGAAAGTCTTTAAAATGTCCTGGAAAATAATTTCAAGAAAAGAGTGGGAACCCTGTACTGAGATGAGGAACTGAGGAACCTACCAGTACTCTACATTGACCGTGGCCATGGTTTCACTTGTGAGTGAGCATCTCGTTTCTGTCCTGCGAGCTGAGCCAGTCAGAAGTCCACAGGGTCAGGGAGTAAGCCACACCCAGGGGGAGGTGAGAACACAGACTGTCTAGTCAAGGGCTGATAATAATCAGGAAAAAGGTTTCTAGAATCTACAAGTCTTCACCAGTTTTTCTTTTGTTGTAATAAAAACACACAAACACACAACATTAATGTTCGACACTTTATTTAAAATGATATTCAGTATAAATGTAGACAGTCGTACGCTCCTGATGAACCAGATCTTGAATGTGTCGAGTCGGTGCCACAAACGTGTATCTATAAGATACATTAGAACATTTGCTGAAGACAAAGATAAATCCATGGTACCTTTGTAATGAGCCAGATTCTGGGGGACACTTCCAGCACAAGTCATTTACATACATCATTTGTAAAAGTTGCATTGCAATCTGCCCTTATTGTACAAGATTTTTTATTTATTCATGGATTTTGTTTCAGTTAAAAGACAAAAAGTTAAGATACTATTTGTTTTCATGTAAAAAAGAAAGCAAGAAAAACTGGTGTTGATTTGCAATTTAGCCTCGAGTCCGTCTCAGCAGCTGCTCCTCTGAAGCTGCTGGAACATCAACACACCTTTTTTTTTATAAATAAACCCTTTTGTAACTGCTGACAAGTCCAGTTCATCTACCTGTGATCATAAAACGTGTACAAAATGTTTTAAAAGCACCCTCCATATGCATTAAAAAATACAAATGAAGTTCATTTGTCCCAACAGCTTTTTGGGATAAAAACGGCAAAAACATGAAAGTTAACATGCACTGGTTTCCATAGTAACCTATCAGTGATATAGCCACTTGATTGAATGCATATTCCCGGTTCCTCGTTCCGATTTAAATCGATTCGAGCACTGCCAACGCTCTCTCTCTCACACACACACACACATGCATGCACACACACAATCTGCCTCTCAAATCACAGCATCAGTTTCATGGATTGTTGGGAATCTTTGACTCCACCCCCTGGTGTGGGCGGGTCTTCATGTGGAAACGTCATCTTATCTGGTGTGTAGTCGTTCCTCTTCAGATCTGATAAACAGAAACAGACCAGATGAATCTGGAATTGACACTGGTGTACCATCTGACAACGCACGCACACACACACAGATTTTTACTCAACCTAAAACAGATGGTTTTACTGGTTTTACGGTCCGTGTACATGACGGCCATCCGATTTTCCTTTGGAAATAAAAAAACAAAAAAAGGGAAACGAACCGTTTTGCCGATCACCAATCAAAAAACAAAAGAATGTAAACGAAAGTCAACTCGTTTTTTGTTTTTCTGTTTTCAACATAAAAAAGGAAAACTTTAAACAAACTTTTTTTTGTTTTTCGATTGTGTATTTCAAGATGAAACGTTTAAATCAGAAAATAAGGGGAAATAGTTCATTTTCTGCCTTAAATTTACCTTTTTCGCTGTGACCCGGAAGTTTACCTGCAAAAATACAAGCGAAGAAGAACACGAGAAGGAAAAACAGTTGTGTTAGCAGAAGACATCGGTTTTCATGCATGTGGATAAATAAAATCTGGATTAATCCACAACTTGTACAATAATGGCGTTGCACGAGTTTGCTGATTTTATCAAAGCAAAAAGGATAACTGGAATGTCATGTGGCAACATCGCTGCTGCTTTATGCCATGAGTTTGGAACGGCACGGCGGGGATTTTCTGAGAGAAATGTGAGGAGGTGGTGCGCTGAACAAGGACTTGTTAAAGAATTTTGTCCTGACAACCGGCTGGAAATTGAAAAGGCGCAAAGTATTTCCGAGGTATGCATTTAATTTATTTATGTAGCCTATATAGGTTGATTATAAAAATGTGTTGTTGTGATATATACAATTGCTTAGCCTACCCTAATTTTTAATTACACGCAACACTTAATGTATAATTTCATGTTGAAAGTGAATAAACCTTTTTCAGACCGGGTCCTCCTTTGGTCGAAAAATGATGACCCTAACCCTAACCTGTCTGCTAAGGGGTTGAAAGCTGCGGAGGGCAGAGTGGGAAGAATCCTGAGAAGCATTCATCAACCCTACCACACCATGAGGCAGCAGGTAGAGAAAAAGAAGTGATAAATATCATTGGTGTAATTTAGAAATGTTTGTTTTTGTTTGTAAATTATTTGAATCGTTTGTGTTATTTAGGGAGCCCGAAATCTGAATCCTGTGTCCTACAATGCAGAATACATGGGTCACAAGCTGCATGTTGATCAAAATGAGAAGCTGGTTATGTTTGGAGTGACCCATGTAATGGCTATTGATGGTTTCAGCAAGAAGGTTGATGGTCATTCCACTATGCCGATAAAAAACAACCTGATTATTTATGAGGAAGTTTACAGGTAAATCATGAAATAATTTTGGGTCCCACTCCCAAACCAAAGATGTTCAATACAGGACCCAGAACTGACAATCCACCTAGATAAAACTATTACATATGATAATGGGTCATATTAATCAAAATAAATTTCTTAAATCACAACATACACTCATCAGTCATTTTTACTTTACTGTGTCTTACATTTAAACAAGGAAACTGCTCTTTGAATATAAATGTTCCAGTGTCCTTCCACCATTCATATTCAAAATATTTGTGTGTGCTTTTTTTAATCAGATCTGCAGTGCTTTCTTATGGACTATGGGGCCAGATGAGAGTTGACTGTGGCACAGAGTTTTATCTTTCCTTATTCATCCAGGAAAAGCTGGCAGAACACAGACACAATCATGAAAGGCGGCCGTTTGTTCAGACACCTTCTACTCGAGTAACATCAATTCCTCCTTATTCAGATGTCTGCTATGACAGTACACATACAGAGTAAACTCTTTGTATCTTTCTCAGAACCATGTGATAGAGAGAATGTGGTCAGATGTAAATGCCAGAGTCAACTACCCATTAAAGACAGCTTTGGTCCAGCTGGTGGACATGGAGGACCTAGACATGGTGGACTACACATCCAAATATTGTGTGTCAAACCTAACATGTCAAATGGCAGGACTTGGCATCACAAATGTCATCGAGGCATGGAACGCACACAGGATCCCAGGTGTTTTTTCTTCATCATAAATAATCTGATTTTTCCTAGTACAAATTGGCTTGAATCTTTTTTAAATGGCTAATCCAATATCAAATGAAATGTGTTTGCAAATGTAAATAAATCTTTATAACATATGGAGCTTTATACACCTCCTACAATTGATGACAGGGTATAAAGGGTCAAAAATAATTAGTAATTTAATATCTGATTGGTAGAATGTCTGAATAATTTCCAGCCTTGTCTCTACTTCGTGTACTGATAATTCTACCTATCAGATATTAAATGACTAATTTTGAGCTTCACATAAATACCCCATCAATTATAGGTGTATGAAATGACATTTGCAATATGTTATACAAATGTATTTACACTTGCAACCATAGATTTGTTTTTGTTGCCTAATTTAGCACATTTTGGATTAACTTTCCAACAAGTATATATTAGCTGTTTTCATTATTAAGCCACATTGACCTTCTTATACGTGCAGGGAAAGGAATACCAAATGAGCTGGCGAAGGAAGGGTGTCCTGCAAGAGTCCCTGAGGATCTTCTGCCTGTTGGAGCTGCTGCAGCTGATCTGTAACAGGAAACTGGATCTGCTTTGAAAAGGGAATCCATTTTTGGATGTGATCCATTTACCTCAGAAGCCTCCAGGCAACGGACTGAAACAGAGTTAGGTTCCCACTTTGACTTAGCTTCACTATATCAAAACGTGGTAAACCATAATTATGAACCTTTCCAGGATGCAGTAAGATCTCTCATTGATACCACCAGAAGATGTGTGTGAGTTGTAGAGCCTGTGTTACACATGCTTAGATCAGGTTAATAAAACAATTCTGTTAACAAAATGTTTATTAACTGTAAAAGGTGTTACAGAACAAAATGTTTAATACAGTTTCATATAACTGTTTTAAGTGCAATAAAAACATTCAAGTAACTTTGAAAGTGCTTTTAACATCTCCAGTAGAGGAATGTAACCTACAACGTGGTTAGACCTTACACCACAACATTACATTTTAGAACCACAGAATAAACTGGTTGTGATATGGAAGAACAAGGAGCCATAAACTTTAGCTTATTTGTTTTAAGACGGGGAAAACATTGTTTTAAGCTTTTTGGCAACATTTTTCCTGAGAAAATGAATGACTGTTCCATCAGTGACTATTCTGTGTGCACCTCTTTGAAAAAGGCTAAAACGGCACTAAGACCTTTGACCTCATGTACCTTGAACTCAAAGTCTTCTGCTCTGCATTTCAGACAGTAGTTTGTGTTCAACAGCCACTGCTCCACACACGTTTGGCATCCCAGTAGAGACTGACAGCATGTGGAAAACATCGGCTTGGACATCAGACCTAAACGGGATTGAATAAACAAAAGCATTATTAGATGCAGTGAAAATATTAAAAATTACTGAATATGCAATACAATTACTATTTGTGTTATACACACTTTTGCAAACATGACAGCAGAAGGCATCCATGACAAGGTGCAGTTGCTCATCTTGTCGTGCTGTTGTGCTTTTAACTTTTGCAAGGTCAGACAGCAGGTTTATTGCTTCAGTGACATTTTGGAGGGTCTCAGTAGCTTGCTTAAGCTGATCAATTTTTCCAATAACCTCTTGAAGGATCCCAGTTTCTTCAGACCTTCGCCTGTAAGGGTTGAGTTAATATTAAGTGAGTCGTTTAGTGTCGTAAACTACTGATGTACTGTTTATTTGTACAACTTGTGTTAAATTTTAGTTCAGATACTTTTTTTAACAATAACCATGAAACAATTCAGAAAACAATTTCATTTTGAATATTACTGACATAAAGTACAACTATTAATTAGAAGAGTACAAAACAAAGGAGTTGTGTATCACAGTAAATGTAGTGGATAAATAATGGAGTAAATTTAGTTTGTGCTTTTCTAGACACTCAAAGCACTTTCCATTCTTAACACACACATTCACACAATGCCAATGATGGAAAGCTACTTTGTAGCTACAGCCAACTCAGAGGTGGTCTGACAGAAGCAAGGCTGTAATTTTGTGCCATCAGCCCCTCTAACCACCAACAACACAAGTAAGTCAGGTGAAGTGTCTTGCCCAAGGACACAACAACAGTATACCCTGGCAGGACCGGGAATCGGTCTCACAATCTGCTGGTCACTGGCCAATCCGCTCTACTTCCTGAGTTACTGCTGCCCCTGAACAAAATAAATAATTTAGATGTGTGCTTACATACCTGGTTTTCTGTCTTCGACCATTTTGAAACTCCACAAAATCATCCTCAAAGATGGCATAGATTTTTCTGGAGTTTTGCTTCCAGTAACTGGAGCCTTTGGGAATGGAAAGACTAATTTGACATCTGCAAAACAGGTATTCACATCTAACCAATACTAAATGACAAATGATAACAACTCACTTCTTGTACCCCCTGAGTCCACAATTTCATTTCCTTGGCTGCCTGTCAATGTAATCTCCTCAACACAGCCCAAAGCCTCCTTCACCTTAACAGTCATTCTTTCAACTGTTGCATCAGATTCCAAGAAGCGAATGACCACTGTCCTGGCAGCTGTTAGTTTGTCGTTGACAATTTCTGCAATATGCACTGACCTAGGAGAAAGATATAACTACAGTTAAAATTACTTAAACATTTTTTCCAAAACAAAAGTTCCTTTTATTTATATTTTTGGAAAAAAATACCTTTGGAACTGTCTGGGTGGAAAATTAGATCGAGAAGTTGCAGAAGCATGTGTTTCGGTGGATGCAGAAGCCGAGGCTCTGCGCATAAAGGCAAAGGGAGCAGCAGAGGGAAGGGCTCTGATTGGAGGGCTTTGAACTTGTTCTGAATCTCCATGAACCTCATAATGACCCAGATGTTGGAGACTGAGGGTGGTGAAATTTCCAGAAGGATCTGGAAATATTGCTGTATTCATGTCATCAGTAATGTACAGGCTATTTCCAGTGACCTGCCAAATTTAACAGAATAAACAAAGACGTTAAGAAAACGTATCCACATACAACATGTAACTTTAGAACAAATTTATACATTTTGAGTAAATGTGATAAAATACAATGAAATATTCGTGTATACAATTTTTACTGCACTGAGTAATGTCTACTGAAGACGATTAAAACACACATTACTAGCTAAAGTGTATGTTTAGCTAGCCAATCGTAGTTAGGATGTTGTGGTGCATGTTAATTACTCAAAACTTTAACAGTTTCAAAGTTTGAATACCTGGAAAATCCTGCATATCTTGTCCACTGACATGTCACCGCCACTCATGGTGACTCGTTTTCCTCCATGAAAGAGAACAAAAGTTTCTACGTCCATTCTGTCGCGCACATATGATCCAAATATAAACCGGTCTTTTGATAGCCGCTAACGTAATTCCTTCTCGTGTTTTTGCAGTAAACTTCTGATTTTCTTCTTCGCTTGTATTTTTGCAGGTAAACTTCCGGGTCACAGCGAAAAAGGTAAATTTAAGGCAGAAAATGAACTATTTCCCCTTATTTTCTGATTTAAACGTTTCATCTTGAAATACACAATCGAAAAACAAAAAAAAGTTTGTTTTCCGTTTTCCTTTTTTATGTTGAAAATAGAAAAACAAAAAACGAGTTGACTTTCGTTTACATTCTTTTGTTTTTTGATTGGTGATCGGCAAAACGGCTCGTTTCCCTTTTTTTGTTTTTTTATTTCCAAAGGAAAATCGGATGGCCGTCATGTACACGGACCTTTTACTCATCAATCATCTCACCTAACAGGACAATACTTGTCATCATCTACGTGGGTGTGGCTAAAGAGTAGCGTTACACGTATGACGTAAGCATTTAGACATGAAGCAAACAGCAGCATTTTACTGTTCCAATGGGGGAGCTTCATTAACCCTCCCACTGTCTTTATGGGTGACCCCACAAGGAAAGTTGACCATTGAGCAGGTTTGATGGTTTATCCCTTGAGGTTCAGGTGGCAGGGGTGAGGTGGTGCTCACTCCTCACCCCTGCTACATGGACCCAAGGGATAAACCATCAACCCTGCACAATGGTCAACTTTCCTTGCGGGGTTAGGGTTTAGGACAGTGGGAGGGTTAAAACAGTGACAGGTTTTAGGAAACAGGCTAAAAGCAGACCAGGAGGACATACTTGCTGTGGAAGACGGACCAGGTTGCTAGAACTTACTGGTCTGTGATTCAATAAGCTAAAATCAAAACATTGACACAATATTTATGTATAACAGAAAGAAAAGAGAAGATTTGTCACATCCTAACTTGTTAAAACAACCAGAAGATTTTTCACCTGGAAGTTTGAGCTTCCGACAGCAGGAGTTGCAGTGATGTTTAGCACGGAAGTTTCTGATGGCATCATCTCCAAGGTTGGCGGGTCCAAAGATCATGTCATAAGATCTATAGGAGACACACAGTCGGAATAATGCTCAGAAGGCATCACAGGCTGCAGAATCAGTGCCCTCACTTATCAAACATCTGTAGACTCTCCTATATTCCTTCCTACGTCTGGAGTTTAGAATGTGTGTACACTCAAAGACCTGATTCATGAAACGTGGTGGCCTCTCATACGCACGGGGTGGGAATACGTTTTTATCAATATCGATTATCGATTCAGTCTATCGATCCAATTCCTTATGGGTTCCAGAGTAGTTCAATAAGTGGAAAAAAACTAATAGCACACGGCCTCCTGCGTTCTAACTATGGTTATCTATGATAATCAACTGTACCTGTATCGGTTGGAAAGATCTTTCCAAATGTTCTCCTTTCTGCTCCCTGTGAAGGCAGAGCCATCTTCTTGTTTGGTGTAGAGATGTAGCTTTTGCAGAGTGGGAGAAGTCTCACCACAGGTCTGTTTTAGTCACTGGAGTCCGCTAGTGTGAAGGTGTGTGTTGAAGCTATTTGGTTTATTATAGGCTTCAGTTATAGCCTAGTTTATTTTCTTTATTTTATGCTAAAGGTAACTTATTTGTTTTGCATTATGCTTTTTATTTATTATTTTGGCTAATTAGTTTATTGTTTATTGGTCAGGTGTGGGTGATTATTGGTATAAATAGGTCAAGGTGGGTAGAGCAGCCAGGGCTGCGAGGGAACATGGTTTTTTAACACACAGAGAAGGAGAGGATGCAAAAATCTCTGCTCTTGCTGCTTGAGTGAATAAACCACCACCAAACGCAATGTCGGCATGGACATTGCTTTATTTGAAACCTTTTCTTTCCCGTGCATAAAGCCTAACCCTTGACGTAGCCCAGTGGCCATTTGAAAGTATTTGATTATTTTTGTTTAAGTTTTATGGACAAATAGCCACTACACAAGTGTGTATAGAAGGTAAATGATGCTAACTTGATAGGCAATGTTAGTTGATTAGTTACCTGCAGGGGTAACAGGAAAGGACGTGTGAATGTCACCACAGCTGCTGCGTTGATGTGCACCAGCCTGGAGCAGGCCAAAACTAGTCACTAACTCGAACTTATTGCGTACTTTGTGCCCAAAAGCTTTTTCCTTCCCTTGTTGAAATATATACTTTGCAATTATTGCAGGTTACCCTGTTGCCATGCTTTCGTGTAAAATATAACCAAACTTTCGAGCATTTGTGCCACTTAGACACCATGTTTCCTGCTTACATAAGCTACGCAAAGTGACGTCATTTGTCCATCCATCCATCCATTTTCATCCGCTTATCCAGAGTCGGGTCGTGGGGCAGTAGCCTAAGGCGAGAGGCCCAGACTTCCCTCTCCCCAGCCACTTGGGACAGCTTCTCCGGGGGAATCCTGAGGCATTCCCTGGCCAGGTGAGAGACATAGTCCCTCCATCGTGTCCTGGGTCTACCTTTAGGTCTCCTCCCAGTTGGACGTACCCGGAAAACCTCACCAGGGAGGCGTCCAGGAGGCATCCTGACCAGATGCCCGAGCCACCTCAACTGGCTCCTCTCGATGTGGAGGAGCAGCGCGTCTACTCCGAGCCCCTCCCAAATGACCGAGCTTCTCAACCTATCTCTAAGGGAGAGCCCAGCCACTCTTTGGAGAAAACTAATTTTGGCCGCTTGTATCCACAATCTCGTTCTTTTGGTCACTACCCAAAGCTCATGACCATAGGTGAGGGTAGGAACGTAGATCCACCGGTAAATCGAGAGCTTCACCTTCTGACTCAGCTCTCTCTACACCACGACAGACCGGTACAACGCCCGCATCACTGCCTCACTGGAGGATGTGTCAGTGGGATTGAGGAGGTCTTTGAAGTATTCTGCCCACCGATCCACAACGTCCTGAGTAGAGGTCAGCAGCACACTGTCCCCACTACAGATAGTGTTGGTAGCGCACTGACCCCCCCACCCCCCCGGTAACCCTGTTTTTTTTGTTGTTTTCATTTATGTCAGATTTTTTAATTTTTACTGTGCTTTTACTTGACTGCTTATATATTTTTGTGTTTTCATATGTCTATGTTCAGCACTTTGGGCAACATTGTTGCATTTAAATGTGCCATAGGGAGCCTAAGTCACACCCATCTACTTCCGGACCACGAGTCACCAGAACGAAAAAAGTGAATGCAAGTCAACAGGGCTAAAAACACTATTTTCTAATGCCGCTTGTTTTGTGTCATGGATTTCACACATGCTTCACTACTGGGGTTCCCTACTGCTTCTACCACTAGATGCTGTTCCTACGCATGGTCGCAGCTGTTCCTATATTTAGGAACATTTCGAGTACAAATTGGTAAATACCAAACAATGCGTAAAATCATTCCTACACACAAAATATGCACAGACCTGTTTGTAAGTAGGGTTGATAAATGAGGGTCCAGGAGCTCACTCACCCTTTCTCTCCACTCTTAATGACTGATGGATCCGTCAGGACCTCCCCAACACCTTCAGGAGCAGAAAAACAGCTGTCATTTACTTGTTCCATATGCCTGTGCTCATCTATCACCTAGATAAGCTTCCACTCGTTACCCTGCAGGTCCAGGGCTAGCAGCTCTCCGTGGGTGTACTCATAGGTCCAGTGGCTGAAGGCCAGCATGGTTTCCTCCAGAAGGTTGGTAGGAACAATCTCATCTCCGTTGTTGTTGTTGAACTTCCTGAACTCTCCGGTGATGCACTCCTCTATGGCAAACCATTGTCCAGCGGAATGGCAGTAAAGCAGGAACACCTCTAGGAACCTGGACACATTGGATGGGTCCAAGCTTAGGTCAAAGGTCACACAACTCCACTTTAAAGGATTCAATGGACGGTTAAAGTGGAGAGACACAAAGGATAGACTCATTCAGTCAGGACAGAGTGGGAATCCTGGAGACTCTGCTTAGGAACATTTACAGCCACAGCACAGATCCATTACTAATCTACTTCCTGTTCCTCGCTGCAAGATATTGGTATTTGGGTCTGTACTGGTTAGACATACATGAGTTAAACCAAGGTCTATAGCCCTTGGGTCATAAACTATGAGCTGTAAGTATATTGGTCTTTTTAGTGATCATCTTGTTTCCTTTTTTTTTGTCCTGATTGTGCCCCGAGCAATTTTATGACTGAATAAAAGCAAATAAAATCAACACAAATTGAAAAATCATCTTAAATAATCGAGATCTCAATTTCAGTCACAATAATCGTGATTATCATTTTTGCCATAATCGAGCAGCCCTACTGATAAGGTCATTGTAGTGGGGGATTTTAACATTCATGTGGACATTGAAAATGATAGCCTCAATGTAGTCTTTAGTAATATCTTAGACTCAATTGGTTTTACTCAAAGAATACATAGCTCCACCCACTCCTGCCATCATACATTGGACCTTGTGCTGACTTATGGCATAGAGTGTGAGGAAATAACGATCTTTCTACATAATCCAGTCCTCTCGGACCACTTTCTGATAACCTTTGAGTTTTTTATAACTGAGTTCTCGAGACATGAAAGTAAATTTCACTATAGTCGGTCTCTATCTGACAACGCAGTTGCATTTTTTAAATCAACTGTTTCATCTTTACTGTCCTCAGCATCTCAGAGGAACGTAGCAGAGAGCAATATTTTCGTTTCTAGCCCCTCACAAATTGATGCCTTAGTTCATAATGTTACTTCCTCTTTAAGTGTGGCATTAGATGATGTTGTCCTTTAAAAAAAGAAGGTAATTAGGGACAGGAAGTTGCATCCCTGGATTAATTCTCATTTACGAGCTTTAAAAAAAACTAGGAAATTGGAGAGAACATGGCACTCTACGCACCAGGAGGAGTTCTACTTATCCTGAAAAAATAGTCTTGTGCTTTATAAAAATAAGCTTCGACAAACTAGAACTGCTTATTTCTCAGCGTTAATTGAGGAGATTAAGCATAATCCTAAATTTCTTTTCAGTACAGTTGCCAAACTTACACAGAATCATAGCTCTGAGCCATCTATTCCCTTAGCCCTCAGCAGTAACGACTTTATGGGATTTTTCACAAGTAAAATTAATTCTATTTGAAACAAAATCTTTAGCATCATCCCTAATTTTATTTCTTCTTCCTCAGTGAGGCAGCATCAGAGGTGACTGTAGAACCTCATCTGTGTTTGAACCGTTTTGATCCAGTTGAGCTTTCAGAGTTATCAAAAATATTATCTTCTTCTAAACCTTCAACTTGCATTTTAGATCCAATCCCAACCAAATTATTTAAAGATGCATTTCCTTTGGTTAGTGTCCCCATTCTAGATATAATCAATCTATCCTTAGTAAATGGATATGAACCACAGGATTTTAAGGTTGCTGTAATCAAACCTTCACTTAAGAAGCCTTCTCTGGATCCAGATGACCCAATGAATTATAGACCAATATCTAACCTTCCATTTTTATCCAAAGTCCTGGAGAAAATAGTGGCCATCCAAGTATGTCAGCATTTAAACACTAATGCTCTGTTTGAGGAATTTCAGTCTGGTTTTAGAGAGTATCACAGCACTGAAACTGCATTAGTGAGAGTTACAAATGATATTCTCATGGCCTCAGATAAGAATCTTGTGTCTGTTCTAGTCTTGTTAGATCTCAGTGCTGCTTTTGACACAGTTGATCACAATGTTCTTTTAGAAAGACTTGAACATGTTGTAGGGATCAAAGAAACAGTGCTAGACTGGTTTAAATCCTACCTGTCTGACAGATTTCATTTTGTAAATGTACATGACAAATCTTCATACTCCAGGGTTACTTGTGGAGTACCACAGGGTTCAGTGCTTGGAGCAATTCTTTCTACTATATATATGCTCCCAATTGGTAAAATCATTAGACAGCATGGGATATACTTTCACTGTTATGCTGACGATACTCAGTTATCTTTATTCATTAATCCTGATGAACCTAATCGGTTTGGTAGATTACAGGCTTGTCTTGAGGACATAAAAATTGGATGACTAAACCTTTTGCTTTTAAATCAAGACAAGATGGAAGTTCTCATCTTTGGACCAGAAATCCAGAAAAGGAAATTGCTTAGTCAATCACCTGACCTGAATGGCATTATATTAATCTCCGAGAGCAAAGTAAGGAACCTTGGTGTTATCTTTGACCAGGACATGTCATTCAAATCCCAAGTTAAACAGGTTTGTAGGATTTTCTTTTTCCACCTTCGGAATATTGCTAAGATTAGAAGCATCCTTTCCAGGAGTGATGCTGAAAAACTGGTTCATGCATTTATTACATCAAGACTGGATTACTGTAATTCATTACTCTCAGGAAGTCCACAGAATGTAGTTAGAGGGTTAGGGTTAGAGATGACAGGTGGAGGAGGGAGGTTTGATGAGCATCCTCCCACTAAAAATTATTCCAAAAAAGCTCATAAGATTCCTTGATTTCAAAAAGTGTCTGGCGATTCACCTGCAACCAAATCTCTTGCTAGCTGCATCCAGGTCACTAGAGCTATAGGCAGCAATAATTAGATTACATGTTCTGTGATGTTCTAATTTCACCTACGTTACTTAACCTAAACTTCATTGCTCTCAGGAAGTCCACAGAATGTAGTTAAAAGTCTTCAGCTTTTCCAAAATGCTGCAGCTACAGTTCTGATGAGAATTAAAAAGAGAGATCATATCTCTCCTCTCCTGTCTTAGCTTCCCTACATTGGCTACCTGTTAAATTCAGAATAGATTTTAAGATCCTTCTCCTCACATATAAAGCTCTTAATAATCAAGCTCCATCATACATCAGTGATCTGATTGTTCCATACGTTCCTAACAGAGCACTTTGCTCTCAGACTGCAGGTCTACTGGTGGTTCCCAGAATATCTAAAAAATATGATGGGAGGCAGATCTTTTAGTTATCAGGCTCCTCTCCTGTGTAACCAGCTCCCAGCCTTAGTCCATGAGGCAGACACCTTGTCTACTTTTAAGACTAGGCTTAAAATATTTTTATTTGATAGGGCCTACGGTTAAAATCTGATGTTAGCCTAGATCTGGACAAGTGGGGGAGTGGAGGTAGGTGGAGTGTACAGTCTGTAAAGACGGCTCTCCCTTGCCCTGCCTCCAACATGCCTCCATCTAAAAAGGCTAGGTTATCCAGAGTTATCTCTGTAGTTATGCTGCTATAGGCTTAGACTGCTGGAGGACACACTGACCACTTTTCACACTCGACTACTTTCTTCTACAATCTGCTCTTTAACTGTATTATTTCCTGCCATTTCAGCTGTTAACTTTATTTTCTCTCTAAGTGTTTTTCTCCCCAGAACAAGCTACAATGATGTTCTGCTGAGCTGTGGTGGCCTCATGGAGGGGGCCATCAGCTAGCACACTGCTGCTAACCACTTAAACATTCCCCCTCTCCTGATAATAACTTTTTGCTTTCCTTTACGTTGGATGTGCTACTACTAGTTTACCCGTGTAATTATAGATCCACTAGGATAAATACAATAAAGTTTATCTCTCGCCACATAGAATATTTACTAAGACATCACAATAGAACTATAGACACATTACTTGGTGTGTGTGTGTTGTGTGTGTGTGTCTGCTTGCTCTGTCTCCTCGATCCCCAGTGAGTCGTGGAGGATGGCTGCTTATACTGAGCCAGGATCCTCTGGAGGTTTCTTCATGTTAAAAGGGAGTTTTCCTCTCCACTGTCGCTAAATGCTTGCTTAGTATGAGGATTGCTGTATAGTCACTGACACTAGTAAGCGACTTGATGCAATTTGCTGGGTTCCTTATATAGGAAACATTTTTTCTGATTGGCTTAATGAACTGACCTAGATCGGAATGTTTTTTATGTGAAGTGCCTTGAGATGACTCGTCGTGATTTGGCGCTATATAAATAAAATTGAATTGAAGGTGCTACTACTAGTTTACCCGTTTAATTTTGGATTCACTAGGATAAATACAACAAAGTTTATCTCTCACCAAATAGAATATTTACTAAGAAATCACAATGTAACCATAGAAACATTGTTTATGTTTATTCATTTCGCATACGCTTTTATCCAAAGCGACGAACAATTTTTATAACCTATAGGGCATGTTGTGATCTTATTTTTTGTTATATATGGTGTGTGTGTGTGCGCACGCGCGTGCATGTGTGTGTGTGTGTGTGTGTGTGTGTGTGTGTGTGTGTGTGTGTGTCCTCTCCATGCCCAGTGAGTCGTGGAGGATGGCTGCTTATACTGAGCCAGGATCCTCTGGAGGTTTCTTCCTGTTAAAAGGGAGTTTTCCTCTCCACTGTTGCTGCATGCTTGCTTAGTATGAGGATTGCTGTAAAATCACTGACACTAGTCAGTGACTCGATGCAATTTGCTGGGTTCCTTTTATAGGAAACTTTTTCTGATTGGCTTAGTGGAATGTTTATTATGTTAAGTACCTTTAGACGACTTGTCGTGATTCCGCTCTATATAAATTAACTTGAATTTTGGTTTATAAAGACTAGAGTAAGATGGCACTTGCGCATGGTCACGCTGTGAGCTGCTCGTCCTCTTTACGCACGGATACCTTGCTTTTTATTGGTTTTATTGGTTTTTATTGGCGTTTTATTGGCTTTTATGCACTTTTCTTGTCGCTGATCCCTTTTTTGAATGGTGTGGATCCTCTGCTGACATATGATCGAGCTGCGCTGCTGAGGCTTCGTCCTTCCGTTGATGTAGCGGGCAGCGCGCGCTGGGAACCGGGCTGTGTGAGCTATGAACCTCACGGACGATGCTGCTGGTTGAACTGCCCGCGTGCTCTCTCCACCCAAGCCGTGATGTGTCGGCTCTCTGTCCGCCCCAGCTCGAGAAGGAAGCATCGGAGAAGACGAGGAAAGAGAGGTAGCCGGCGCGTGAGACGTCGGCCTGGATCCCTGAACAAGCGGCTGGCCCGATCCGGCCCAGCTTCTGACCCGATGGTTCCGAGATGTCTCCTGGATTACTCGGCGCCCTGCTCAGGGAACTCGGCCGGCTCTGAGGGTGAACCGGCACCGCGCCACGGCCGATCGGCTCGAAGATCTCGCCAGACTGGGGTTTGCTGGGAGAATCTGCGCTCGGTTACGGGCACAGAGTTAGAGGGGACTGGGTCCGTGCGCGATCTC